TTTTGCCTCACATTTGTGATTTGCTTGTATGGACACTGAAGCCTACGGTTATTCACTTTTACTTTGTGAATCTCATTTGTTCGTGAGGCAACTTATCGATCCCCTACTTTTTGAACTGTCCAGCCTTTCCGCAAAGCCTGTGATATGCCCTAATTAGAATATCGTGAGTGAGTTCCACAGACAGACGCTTGGTGGCCGGTTTGGCTTACTACGTGCACATTGTTTGTTGCTCGGTCGTTGGTGTTCTCACTACCGTTAGTGAGTGGAAGTAGTCGTGGGGCTCCGACACAACAATCTTCAAGGCATATTCAATCACAATTACATCAAAATTATTCACTCGAAACATTCTAAAACGTAAACGTTCAATAAACACCCTCAACGGGCCGGGTTGCAATTAGCGAACGCCGACCGGTCCACGGCGGTGTAAAGGTTGGTAGTTGCTGCCGTAGAGTGCACCGGCTCGCTATACCCTCATATTTTACGAGACCAGCTGCTTGCAGTGTAATCCCTTCGCAACAAAATGGTACATGTCTGCGTACTTGCGGAAAGGAAGGAAAGTAATACAAGACAACGTTTAACACATCCTTTGAAAGGAAATTGCAAGGCTGCAATCGAACATCTATCACATGCCTCGTTCATCGCTCCATTGGTGATTATGTCATACCACCCGGGAGCTGTCTTGTGTACCTCGATCAGAGTTGACTTGTGGGGTTCGTATGGAGGTGAATTGTTTGGAATATGATTACCTTCCACCCCACGCTCAACTTAGACCTGTGGATCCGTCACAAAAGTGCTATTTCATCGCATCAATAAAGAAGTTACGTGTAGTGATTTGTATCCATTCTGCTGCGACGGAGGTCGTTCCGCTCCTTATGTTACAGACAACTTGACTTCGAGGTCAAACGGTAGCTTCTACTGCGTCTTCAACTATCCGACCGAACTAGCCTGAATACCCACCAAAACGAGACAACCTATCTGCGTCTCTTGTTTAGAGTATCGTTTTAGTACCAAGCCAACGTTGTTCACTGTTGTCCTGCGTGCATCAATTGCACCCTAGCCTCTGACATCTCCTTTGCTCACTTACAAAAGGGGCTTGACTCCACTTCAGGCTTATATCCGGTGTCCTGAGTGCACGCATTTCCTTTCCCTCAGGGACTGTGCGCGCTCCGATGGATGTGTCAAGCACCACCATTGTCCAGTGAGGGCGCACGGCGCACTGTGTACCGGCTGAGCTCCGTTTAGTCAAGTCTCAATTGTCGTCAATTTGAGTTGGACCACGCTGGTCTCACGCAAGTCTCACAGTTTTCCTATCCACCGCCGAAAGCTTGAGTATTCTGCGTCTAACTGTTTTCAGTTGCTACGCTATACCGAATTCTATTGGCTGGTAGCCTCTGCCCACGCAGTGGTACGTGGATGCTACGTGGATGATTATCGGATGATGGCCTTTGCGTTAAGGAGGAAAGCTTCTGCACTAAGAATGATAGCTTTTGCACTAAGGATGCTAGCTTCTGCACTAAGGATGTAAGTGCTTGCGTTAATGATGTAAAGGATTGCGTTAACGATGTTAGCAAGTGAGAAATGGTACAGTCACTTGTTGCAGGACGTTTTGCCCCAGAAGTTGTGTTGATGAAACCGCTGCGCAATCAGCAGTTGATACTTTTCAGGGTTCTTTGGGAGTTGGTTCTTTACTGCTAATTCGTTAATGCTAGCTGGATCTGCCTGAGGATAGACACGATCGGATGTTGGGCGGTTTGCCCTCCAAATTTTATCATCGTCTGGAAATATATATGCATTGGGGATAGCATGTCTGCTGGAAGGTGATTAATGTGGACGAGGACGGATCCTTGCGGTGCGCTACTGGAGACGTAAGGCTTTCAGAGTGGGTGCCGGCTACTCTTGCTTTGTTTGCTTTGTCTTGTATGTAGTCTTTTAACCAGGTGAGCCGTTGAGACTGTGGGCAGCAATATTTCGAAGGACAAAGAAGTTATTGACCCTGTCGAATGCTCTAGAAAAATGCATGCAAATCACATCATCCAACGCGTGCATCAGCCGCTGTGGTCCATGAGTCCCCAGTAATCAGCAAATTGGTGAAACATGATCGTCTGCTTTTGAAACCTAGTTGGGCGTTAAAAATTATCTGTAGACTTCAAACTATCGCGTCAGTTCATTTGCGATGACCGATCTCATCACTTTGATGCAACAGGAAAGCGGTGGCGTACAAATCCATGATTCTCTCGGTCCTTATAAATGGATCGGAAAAGTGGACACTTTGCAGAAAGGATTTCCGGTTTCTGGAACGAGCCTAACAACAATGGCTTTGCTGGATTCTGCACATCCACTGGTACGACAATGTGCCGAAGCGAAGTGTACACCCTGGACTGCATGCTACTGCTGCGACACCTCCGGTGGCTTTGACATGTGCGCCATATGGATCTAACGAGAATCCAGAAGCACCTGCTGTTTGGGCAACTGAGTGCAGGCGGCCGGAATGCAGGCAAAATAAACTTGCGCCACCAAGGCAATATCAAGGTTAGTTTGTTCAGAGTAAGTGGTGACCTAAGGGCTTGGGAAGAGATGGCAACGAATTGCCGCATCAGGCGCGATCTCCTCACGGGTACCGTTGCTCAAGCGCAATTATTACACCTGGTCCTTCAGGAAATCAGACATGCAGCACACAAGCAGTAGCTGTCGTCGGACTAAAATGCTTCGACAACTCCAACATGTAGCTGTAGTGCATGCGACTCTGTGTGCCTTAAAAAGTTTATATCGTGTACACTGGACATCAGATGGATCTGAAACGTGCCTTTAGCATAGTGTACAAGGTTCTCCACATCGAATGAAAGTTCTCCATCCTTGTGCATTTGCGACGGCCGAAACAATTTGTGTGCTGTCTTCATGATCGTAAAAGATGCGAATTTAGGCTTTTCACCTTCCCAGGCCAGTAAAAGCAGAGGACACTGACGTCGACGGTCTTTGGTCAAACTCCGTAGCACACAACTAATCCAATATGGTTTATTTAGTTTTCCCGTCTCTGACATTCACCCTCGAGTGATCGAAGTAATCCGAAATAACTTTGTCGATTTCATTTGTTTAGCCCCTATATATGCTTGTAATGACCTAAAGTACTTGCTCCTCAAATGCCTTTTGTTCTTGACACTCCTAGTTCCTCAACCATTGTGTGAATATACGTTAATCCAACAAGCAACATGAATGTATGAATGCACTTGATAACTGTGCCATCGGCCACATACGGACATGTACTTCCAAACAATCTGTGGCAAAAAACTTTAGTAAATAATCATCAAACGTTACGGTGATAACAATGTCAACAAATCTTGGCGCAACTCTGGATTACCCTAAATTCAGGTAAATAATTACAATTATCCTGAATCCAGTATTCGGGGTGCCAAAAGTTACCAAATTCGAATTTTCATCATCCCAATCCGGTGCAAATGGAAACACTGTATCACACATGACAATCAGTTTGCATACTACAACCAGGAAAAAGCAATATCGGAGCATTAGACTACTTGTTCACGCTGTAGTGACAACCGTCAGCAATTGGTAGTAGAAAGCAACAAATTTCTTTTATGCACATGCACGTGAACAAATATTTTCTTGTTACCTTCACACTCGACACCTAACATTCCTAGGCATTCGATTCCCATAATACTCAACATGATTGTGTCTATAAAGTTGAACCTCTCCCTGCAATTTTTGTATCAGCCGATCACACAGCATTTCGCCGAATGACTGATTCACCAGCATAACCTTCGGAGAAGTGTTTTATCGATAGTGAGAAAATCGAGTGACTTGATCTACAGCTTCTTCTTGTCATCGGAATATTACTCCACACTATTCACTGTAGACTTTGTGTTTCTACACAATCGTTTAACAGTCGATCATTTGAGCTAATTCTAAAGCCATCAACAAGTGCTTAAAAATTACCGAGGTTAATGTGAACGCTGATTTCCGAGTTGACTTGAAAGCCAATAATGTGGATACTGAATTAGTGAATGTTTGAGCATGCTAGTACCGGACTGACCGCCTTAAACTCAATTGGCTCGTAGAGATACTGGGTTATATCCTCTCATGATGCTAATCGAGTCGCTGTGGGAAATACCGCCAATCGGAAGGCTCAAGATAAAGGTGAACAAACTGCCTACATTACTGTTTAGTAGGCAATGAGAGCAGCCACCGTATCCTCCTTTGATCGGCGTCTTCGGATGTCATCTTGAAGTCAGCAGTTTGATGAGTGGAACTCATCAGTGGGTAGTTACATGCGTATAGTTGATGAAACACGTTCAAGCTTAACGGCCTTTCATGGATCTTCTGGGCATGCGATTGATCATCACAATGATGGTGAAAAATCAATACAAAGTCATATTCACACGTCTTACCTCAGGGATTATGCACGTGCCCTGGATGACATCAACTAGCCTACGATTGGTAATTTATCACCAGATGTAAAAGCACAAATTCCTTTTTTGAGCTTTTGTTTTTGACATAAAAACAGCCTAACAATATATGAAATCACTGAACCCATAGGTTGATGACTAAGGAAAAATAACACCAAATATGCACATCAGGGTAGCCTAAGTTTTATCCGAGATTTCTTAACCGTTTATCATGAAACGACTACCTGTTGTATCGAAAGCGCAAAGAAAAATATTAAAACAACGTATTTTTGTAGCTTCCACTTTTGCGTTCGTGAAAATAGAATTGGCACTTGTTATTCATATAAGTAAATATATCTCAAGCCGATTAGCTCCTATCATATTTTGATCTTGAATACGTTTCGTTAGGCTAAGGAGCCACCGTTGGGAGAATGACTAACTTTCCCTTGCATTATGTATGTGGGTGAAACCTTGAAACACAGACTCCGTAACACCCGTATTGCACAGTACTGGAGGTACTACAATCTGCATTCTGCGGAATGCGTCAGACGACTATTGACTCATAGATAAAGTGCATCATTTTTGGAGCAAATCAACACTCACGCAATTTGGCAGGTTCAGCTAGATATAGTAGAGCAATGTCGGCGCCGGTTGTCACGTCCGCCGGGAGAAATGCTGGGTGAAGAATAGCTTTCTGGACCAGATGTATCTTTTCAGTCACCTCCAGTTTGCTCTTCCGATGATCACCCAAGTGCGCATATAAAGAAATGTTGGAAAACACCACAGTACTGCTCGGTGCGTCGAATGGATTAATATCGATCAGCTTTTTTAGACAATGAGCAGCAGTGACGATCCACCGTGGGTCGATAAGCGTAGCACCGCACAGAGTAGTCGCATTCTCGACCCCGGACTGTATCGTCAAACGAACCTGTGGTGAATGTTATGTAAGTAAACGGATGTGCATTATTCTGACCTAGTAGGAACATTGTAAAATCACATCTTTCATGTATGACACGCGAATCTCTATTTGCTCACACAGTTCCTGTAGTACCAAATGACTAAGCCGAATGCCATTGGCACAATAGGAATGGAGCAACACCACGGAAACAAAGAGGTTCTAAGTTTGGATGGGACTGCATGTGTACCCATACAAAGCAGGTATTTTAACACTGGTTCTGTTGATGAGCGCGTGTTAATTTTTATGCAGAAACGAAATTTCATCAGCACCATCTGGAATCTTTCAGCTGGAACAACAAGGAAATAATCGATGTAAGATAAGGAAATTTTATTGACGCTCAAGCTGTCAAAGGGATGGCAATTTAGTGTCAACTAGTTAGCAGACAAAAAATGCTTCAGTATATTAGCACTACATAACACATTTGCTTAAATTGTAACATCTTCGCGTCAAGCTTCAATAGATCCGTTTCACCTGAAGGCAAAATGAGGCAATACACATGTGACATCAGTGACATGCAGCTAAATTCGTCGAGGTGTTAAGAAGAATATTTGCTTAGCTTACTCAGCTGGCAAAACAGCAGGTGCCGCTAGTACGTAATAGTAATGCAATTTATCTGTTTCAGCACTCAGGTGCAGTCTAGTTGAGTGTATGAATCAAAGAACTATAGCGAAAGGCGGAGCAACGATTTGACTTAGACATATGCCGGTGGTGATGCAGAGCGTCACAGCAGTCTCGAATCAAATGTGGGTGTACACAAACATGCAAACTTGCGTATCTCAGTGAAGTATAGCGCCGCAATACTAGTATTGGTTTGGGTCATAACGTTGCACTTGACTCAGTCCACGTCAGTTCAAAATCTAGGGTTCATACATGCAGTTTTCAACAATTTGTATTACCACTATGTATTTTATAAAGCACACAATTATTTTGAATTAAAGTTTAATACTAAATACTATATTGCGAAAGCAGGTAGAAATGTAACTCCTTGTTACTTTATCGGAATGTGATCAAAGTTGCTATAAAAATATATGTTGCTAATAGGAACACTTTAATTTCCTATGTAATATTTTAAATTGCCTTATTTAGTGTATCATTGGGCTCACCAATGTGGGTTGTCATTAATGGTGTGCAATTCTCCCCTTAATCGAAATGTAAATCCTACGATTATTTGAAAAGCTGCGCAGATTTAGCTTTCACGACATGTTCTGTCAGAATTTCCTAAAAATTTACCGCTCTCATTTCAAAGCCCAGGTACTGAGCAACTGGCTCTAAATCGGGGACTGTGACCTTGTACGTAGTCATCGTGTGCTGCATGGCGCTCGTAAATGAAGCAGCAGCCTGAACATGGTGAAATCACCGGAATGTATTTTTGCGGTAGGTCAAGGTGAGATCAACTCGCAGCCGACAATAGGTCAAAGTACCAATGATTAATATCGATGAGAAAAACACTGTGCTAACACATGCACAGTTCTCCTGGGGTGCACGACTTAAGACCGAGGGTAATAAAGGCAGTCTCCAAAACGTCGTCGAACCATTAACTCAGCTCCTTCAGCAATACCTACAATGTAGAGATATGAACTAGTCATTCCTATTCACAACAGTGACACTAATGCGGTGCCATCGAACTGCCATATAATCACTTTCCTCCCGGTGCTATCCAAGGTTACGAAAGTTATAATCGCAAAGGCGCTGATGGGATACGCTGAGAATAACCCCATCACAATGTCATAACAGAACGGATTTTGTCAAAGTCCGTCCTGCGCTAAGAACATTTTGTTAACCCAAACAAGGTAGACGAAATGTTTTCAAGTCGTCCACATGGAGTTCTATAAATCATTTAGCTGCTTGAGAGACCGCATTCTGCCTCAGAAGGTTTGAAACTTTGAAATCGGAAACCCCATCCCGGATTGGATAAGCAGTCTTTTTTATTCAGCGTCAGCTGAATATGATAGTTTACAGCGCTATTTCCGAACCAATTGAATTCCAGTGTGGTGTACCTCAATGACCGATATTGGGATAATGTTTATTTCAATTATTCGCTAACAATCCTGCCAGTGTGCTCCACCCTGGCTTCTTAAGTTTACAGAAGACGTTAAGATCTGGTATGACACTGAGATTGTGAACGACCATGTGGCACCACAAAGTGATTTCAACAGAGCATACACATGACAGTCCGCAAACCGGCTCCAGTTTAACTTGACGAAATGCAAAGTTCTGAGCGTACGACATCATTCTGTCCATGAATATCGACCAGGCTAGTAACAGTTGAATCACGATAAACAGGAAAGCGACCTCGGTGTAATTGTGTAGCACGACCTTGTCCGCTCGAAACCGGCTGAAAAAGCATCGAGAAGAGCCGATCAGCAAGTTAGTGTCCTACCTTATAATCCTCATCCAGTTGCTCTATAGAGCTTGCCAAAACTCGCTTTCTCACCCGTTATGGATTATCGTTCAGTACGCTTGACATATAATTGTTTCTAATCTACGTTAAAATGTACCTGACAGCAACGCAAAACTATACTTTCCATCACCTAAAAGCGAGATAGCATGAATTGAGCCCAGGCAGTTGGACGGTCTTGGTACATTGGATCAAGGAGATTGCGCTGAACCCCATAATTATTTAGGACAGACATCACTGTAGTGCACAGTTTTATTTTAGCTAGGGATAGCTTTTACACCTCTAATATAACGTGTGAGTTAAGTCAACCGGAAATAAAGTATATATACTCCTCAATTATGTTAAACTGCAACAGCATTATTTCGTATTATTAGACCCAGGTGAACGGTAAAATGATCTATTTATCAGTGACCACAGGTAAACCTAGTCATGCGCATCAATGAAAAATGATTTACGACGGGTCAAAAAGCAGATGCTTCACAAGTGCCGTAGGATGGTTAGAGTGAAAAGTAAAATTAAAAAATCAACGAATCAGTGAATAGTCGTTTTAAACGTCCACCGAGTTAAGTGCACTGCAGCTTAACAATATTTTGAAATGGAATGTGTGCACACGCAAACTAGTATGGTAATCAGGTGTGGTTCACGCACTCCGTGAGAAATAAACAGCGGAATTGCCAACCCTCATTTTTGTGCCGCTTTATTTGAACGATGTGGCATGTTAATCCAGTTTAGACACATCCAACCTATTCCCAAGGACACTTATACATGTCTTATCACCACCACGTTACGGAGAGAGCTCTTGTGCACATGCTTTGTTTCGCTTTATTTCGTCCTCAGAGGGAAGCGGACTAGCTCACGTAATGCGAGTGAGAAACTGCTGCATCAAAGCGTTTTCGGAAGGCCATAGTGTAGGGGGCATGGATGACGTAAGTTTTAAAGGCCTTCCATGTTCGGGACACCCAAAGAGAGAAAATGTTTCGTCGACAATTAAGTCGCATTTAGTGAGTGGTCAGTTTGAGCTGGTAACTTCTTAGTTTGGTATTTCTGTTCAGCTGCAAGATGTCGAAATGAGTGAACTACATTCGTCAGTATTAATTAAATTATGATGTCTGCACGCTGACTTCAATATTCACCACCGTACGATCCCAGGGTCCGCACTCTGTGCTAACAGGAGATAAAAAAATGCTCTAACGTATTTGCTTGCTTTACTTCGGTAGTCTTCAAGTGCATCAGCGTGTTGCTCGCCCTACGGACGTCAGGCCTGGATCGCATATTCCACTTGGGGCCCCACATAGGCGCTCAGCATTGCCGGGATGATCGATGTCTTGAACATTCCGAAAGCACTCCGTAAGAGTCCAAGTTATTGACTGACTCGTTTTGATGCCTTTTCAGTTTGCTTCGAGCTGTCTACGTTATCCTTCACGATTAACCCGGGGTGATTTTCCGGGAAGCACCTCACAACCACTGGTCCCCAAATGGAGAACCAAGTGTAAGCAGATGGCCTGTGCTCATGACGTTGCATTTAGTCACCGTGAACTCTAGCTGGTTGTCGGATGATCACGAATAGGCATTGACGAGATCTTTCTAAATCTACTTCCGTTTAACACAGACAAGTGCAAAACCGTACATGTCCGCCACAAACCCACGTACGCCTCTAAGCTTGGAGACGATATGCTGAACACGGCCTCACAAGAGCAGGACTTTGAAGTGGTGATCCAAGACTACCTCGTTTGTTCGGCGCAGTCCTTAAAGGCTTCCAAAACTGCGAACCAATAAATTGGTCTGTTACGGAGGGCGTTCGGGAGGTTCGATCCCTCTTTCGTCCTCTAGCTGCTCAATGAGTATGTGAGGCACCATGTGGAGTACGCCATGCAGGCTTTGCAACTCTGGTTAAAACGCGACCTGGTTGCACTGGAGACCGCACAGCGACGGGAAACGAGAAACGTGAAGGGTTTGTCCTATCTGCAATACCATAGGCGACTGAAAGCCCTTGGAGTGTAAAGCGGAAAATATCACCGTCTACGAGGTGATCTTATCTTGGCGTTTCAGATTTTGAAAAGCCCTGTTCCCGTTTGCCGCCACCAGCTGAAGCTTGGCTGCAACAGAGCAATAAGGGGTCAGAGGTGGAAACTTGCTACCCAGTAAAGTCGGCTTGAATGCAGCCGGTATTACCTTTCCCTTCGAGTTTGTCAATCGTAGAACGCTCTTTCGACTTCCGTCATTACAGCGCCCTCGTTACCCATCTTTTTAGAAACGAGTCGACGATGCTTTACATCATTTACATTATCTGCTCTACTTTCTGTTCATTGAGTGATAACAAGACGCAGAAAAACATTGTGCTCACCTACTCCATGAAATCTTATTAGACGGATATACTTATGTATTAGCGTGGATAATATGATGAGCCCACTGATGCGTTTTTCTCTCTTGTGTAGCTCCACTGAACTAACTTTATTCTCCCAAAACATCCCACATGACTTGTTAAGTCTTGGCATTTTTATCCGTATTATACCATTGTTCCATTGCTCTGCAGTGCCGTGCGATCGTCCACTCGCTTGATTTCATGCAAGAATTTTACATCATTTTCACATACTAAGAAGTTCGACTGGAGTACACCAGCCAGGTCTTTGATGATTACTAAGAATGTGACCCCAGTACCTATGCTTGTGGAACACCACACAGAACCACAGTTGGGTCAGAAATAGAGTCGCGAACTCTTACAAGCAGCTAAGGTTGAACGAGGAACTTCTTTATCCACTCCAGCACGGTCTTTCATTGCGTGGCCTCTAACCTTGTGGATGAGGATGCGGTGGTCAACGATCAAACACTCTGGAGAAATCCGGCTAGACGACGTCTACTCCCATGGCATCGACTGATTCTGTCCAGTTTTCTCGGGTTAGCAACAAGTTTTTAGTGCAAGGCGGAGTTAGGCTGAATCCATTATTTCGTGACACAATGTTGTTGTTGCTCTGAAGGTATCCCATGCAGGCCTCTGGGATAACACCTTCCATTATTTTGGATAAGACTTGTAGGAATGTGATTGGACGGTATTTCGAGGGCTCTGCACAATTCCTACTCTTTTTGGTTGTATTGCTTATCCAATGGTTCCGCATTATGCGAAGTTACATTCCATCAACACATCGTTGAAATAACTAAGTTGCTGGTTCGACAATGCTCATGGCGTCTGTCTCCAATACCTCCGATCTGTTGTAGTCCACGTCAAGAGAGCTGTGCGTGCGCAATGACAAGGATCTTTCGTCACATTCGCTACCATGAACGTTACGTGGCCTTATATTGGTGGCAGCAGGACCTGCGCCAGAAGCTGATGATATGATGATTCACTCTGGACGGTGCGGATGAGTTGTTGGAGAAACTCAATGGCCGCCTCTTGTGTTGTGTGCGGCGGACCAGTTTTTGTACGTAGAAATGGGATCCTGCGCTGTATACTCCGGAGCTTTTTAGCCTGTCTGCGCAGCACTTTAAGAGTACAGCTGAATTCAATCGCTAAGTGTTGTTGGCGCCGGCGTTTGTCTCCACAGCCTAACTTGACACGGTGGCTTCGTTAATTTGAATGAGCATCCCAGGTCTGATTGCTCGGATAGGCTTTGTAAGCGCGCCACGCTGAATCCTTCTAAGCCATGCATTTTTAGTGCTGCTCCTAAGAAAGGACCTTATTTGCTTCTGGCGAAAGACCTTAAGTTCCAACGCGTTACACACTGGCCAGGTGAATTGCGGGACAAACACCATCCAGGCGACATCCAGCAGCTGCTCGGCTAGGAAGTATCGGTCGGTTTCTAGAACGAGGTCGGATAATGGGTAATTCGTGACGACGTAAGTTTCGCTGTTGTTCTCACTGATAGATTCCTTATAGAAAATGTAATGGAAGATTAGCGTCGCATGATCCTTACGGCCAAGTGGTGCATCTATGTACAAAGTATCTAACATTACTTCCTCGCTGGTGTGCACGGGGTCCAAAACAGATGGTGCGTCACCTGTTTTGAATCGCATGGGAGAGATGACATGGTTGCCTCCCTTGCTGGGTCAATCTCCTCTTAGGAAAGTCATGCTGCTGGCAGTATTTTATGCATTTTGTGTCACATTTTGATCACATTTGCTTCCCTCAGTTTGGAGTGTAATGTTTATTTCATCACTCGCGAACCACATGCTGTGTAGTTAGGTGCTCGCGGTAACATCGATATTGAGTTAGTCATAGCCTGTTCGAGTGAGGGCTCTTTAAGGATGAAACGCCATTCCTCGCAGTCATGCTCCTTGGCCTTTAGTTGGTTGAATGTCTGGAGCTCGGGGACACTGTGTAGTGTGTGTGTGTGTGTGTGTGTGTGTGTGTGTGTAGTTCTCCGTAGTGTACTGAGTTCGAGTGACAGACGAGGCGCATCATATTGCCTGGTTTAGCTTGAACCCCTATTTGTTGACACGGGGAGACCCCTGTATCGTGTCGTTTAGTAGCTTATCTTTATAGATTCCGCCCTGGATTCATTCATTTTGAAGCATATAAGTCAGCAAATTATGGTATTGTCACGTGTTTCCCATTTTGGAGGGACGCATAGCTGTCTCTTTGTTTGGACATTCAGTCCCGTGGTGGTATTGGCAGTAATAACTGAACCTAGTTTGTCAGCGAGCGGGGTATTATGGGAGGTGCTTCTGTCATTTGGGGGGCAACAGCATACACTTATGTTGTCTACCCTCTAACAGTATTTGCTGTTACGCGTGGATCTTGGGGCACCCAAGTGCCTTTCTGTTACAACACGCAATCTCAGTTGGGGCCGCGATTTGTTTTGAGGTAAATATCCACCATTTCAATCACAAGGACCGCATTTGAACTTCAATTTAGCAACTATATCATAAGGATCCATATGGACACTCGTATGGTTATTCTGTTTACGTTTTTATTCGACATGTTGGAAAACACACTTCCATACGGACGATATACTACCATGTTAGATATGATAACATGTGGCGCTCAATCAAAATATCGGAGCTTAACAGACCAATTAGCCCGTATTCCGTTGACTCAAACGACAACTTATATGCACTAAGGTCTCAGTTCTCTCACATTTTCTGCAAGTGCAAATGGTAAAGTTGCACATGCGTTCAGAAGAATCTTGAGACGCCTGATGTGAACAGCCGCTCAATGAGAATTTCAAGAGAGAATGAATTTGCATCCTGGTAAGACATGCTTACGGAAAATTGGATAGGTTGGTGCAACCTAGGTCAGTTTTCGCAGCGTTTAGTTCAACAGCGTCGTAGTCCTACCTTTATTGTTAAATGAACTGAGGTACGCAAAGTAGGAATGAGGTCACTCAGATGCTGCTGTGTTGTACGCTGTTAGCTTGCATCAAACGTACAAATGCACATGCTTCCGAAATTCCCGTGGAAACTGCAGGAGCTTAGTTTACTGTGGTAACGTAAGTTATCATCAAGAATTATGCATCAACAGTCGTCGGACATTACTGCTTTGATAGAGGTTATGACTTCACATTGCAGGCCTCATCTAAGCCGTCGAATAAATGCACTTAGAACTGCGCACAGCCTACTGCAACTGAGCTCAATTGATTAGTAGGTGAGATAAAATCAACTCTGTTAAACCACTTTACAACTCAGCCCACACAGTACTAGGTATGCCAAGCATAGCGTGCTTGAACCCATTTGATAACGAAGATCCTGATGCGAACAAACGTGGGCATAATTAATCTTCTGAACTAATCAACTCACCGCCCACGGCCATGCGTTTGGCTCACTGCTTTCGCCACCCAGAATTTTGAATGCTGGTCCAACAAATCCCGGTCTCACCCCACAGTTTTTTCTCATCGCTGCACAAACAAGGAGAACAATGTTTCATTTGACATGTACAGGTTAGACAATTGCTACACAGTCATAATGACGTTTGTTCCGAAGTGACAGATAATAATAATTAATGTTGCTCTAATGATGTACAGAACACCATGTATTCGACTGCGTTAATCTACGCATAGGTATTACTACACCGAAGAGGCATTTGTTCTAGGCTTAGACGTAGCTCCTTACTTGGCCTCAACATCACTACTCGCATCGAGTTATAGTGCCGAATTAGTGTTGGAAACACAATCCGTTTCTTGTTGGCTTGCTTATACTTAAGGTATCAAGCTTCATAACTTGTAATCTGAAAACAGAAATCTAGCTGGCAAATAAAGCCTATAAAATAATCTATTTATAAGGAGACTGAAAACATAAAGTTTCTTGGAATGTACGCCCGAATCACAAATACCCAACACAAATCCCCATCCATGTTGGAGAACAGAGCCGGAAGCCTCAGCTTTTCCATAGCCGTCCAGGCTCCAACTGTCCCGACTCTATTAACCCTCCTAATTGGACAAGTCGTTTAAAGCTTACCTGTTCCCAATCCCTTCAACAGTGTCCCACCCAGTAATTCAATTGCTACATTAGAATTCCAAAACGGCAGTCAGTCCACAGTATAAAAGTTGGTGAACAGTTGCCTCTAGTAAAACGCCGGATAAAATGCTCATAACTCCGCTTACCTGACTGGATATGAACTGTCGCCGCATGGATGGTCCTCACTAGCGCCGCCCACCGTTTCACGATAAGCATCATAAAGTAGCGTTCTTAAGCTGATAATCACCAAGCTCCACTATGTTGCCTTAGTCTTGTGTTCCCTGACTCACCCGAATTCAAATCCCACACAATAAGTTTAAGCTGATAGAGGATCAAAATCATTGGGTTTACTTCTGTATTAACATCGGTATCCTTGTTGGTTTCACTACAGTGAGAAGCAGAACGAGTAACGCAGACTCATAGCACTGTGGTGAGCGTCGATTTGTTCGAGAAACATGAAATTTCGCGGATGAGACGGAGGTTGTTCTACTGTCTGTAAATGGACTCTACAATGTAGCGTGTGTATACTACCGGATATTCCGTGTAAGGAATCTCTAAGGCAGACGTATAAACAAGAGGGAACTCAAAGCACGGTGATAAGAAAACCGTCATTGTTCACGTGTACTCGAGCCCCAAGCTCTCTTTGCCGACGATGCTGTCACACGACCTGGAGTGCTGGCGCCACATCGGTAAGGTATCTTCTATAAAAATATCGCTGCTACTTAGTTGACAAGGATCTCCTCGCCACATAATTGCAAAATATGCAGTCCGAGGTTGCTGATGTTATTGTTAGAACCTGAGCTAGCCATACTGAATTGTCTATAAAACTGGGCTGATTTCCGTCAGAGGCTGTCAACAGAAACTCAACTGAAGGCAGCAGGGACACGACCACAGGCTACTGGTAACACAAATGGGCAACATACTCAGCGACAGTATCCGTTGTGCAGTTCTGCGCATAGAATGTTCTAACAGTCGACATAACCTCCGAATGGACACCGCAGGTTGCAAACGAATATCTGAGTCAGCAGGAACTTAAGTATCCAGTGAATCAAGATATCAAATTAGCAACTTGAGAGCCAACAAATTAGCAGAAAGGGATATCAACCAACCTCACGACGGTCGGCCTACTAACACAACCCTCGTCTACACATTACACAAGCATTTAACATCCAAAACGCTGCCTTGATTTTGTATTAACGCACAAAACCCTTTCAGCAAACTGAAGGCGTTCCGGTTGTGTCACGGCCCGACCTCGTGGGACCTCATAATATTAACCAAGGCATGACTGAGTGAAGTGAGCAGGAACGCTGAAATCTAACTGCCTGGGATGTATATTCTGTGCAACGATCAACAGAATAGAGTAGGTGGTGTACTATTCTATCAACGCAATGAGTGGTATCCTGGTGTCAGGAATACCTGATGGTCCAGATGGTTGACAGTCTAGTGCAGTCTTCACCTAAGTCGTAGTGACACATGTTTAATGGTATCGTGTACCCCCTCTGTCATGCACATCATAAATGGACAATCGCTTAGCCTTAACTCTGAAGACTGTCCTCACACAACAACACTCTTCTGGTTGGTGACGTAAATCTCCACACTTTGTAAACACCAATCTGTCACGGTGAACAATTTCAACTGGAAATATGATAGCCTGTTATTGAATTAGCACTAAAATCAAGTTACTTCCCCACAAGACTCCGAACGGGGAACAAACTGAGTGTCTTGGAATTCAAGTTCATCATTGAGGAGCCCATGCTCAAAATGGTGCTCCATTAGGCCAGAGCAACCATGTAACCCTGCTGTTCAACTACATCTGTTGTGCAAAGTATTCCGCAGAAAACCCTGATGACCCACTGATTATAGCCAATTACTGCGTTTTGATCACAATTATGTACAGAAGCAACTGCACATTTCTTCCCGAACTATCCCAATAGTTGGCCTGGTGTGATTTTGTCGGCGAAATCAACAAGTTCGTAAGGCGTCCTTTGAGGGACAGTAAGACTCGCTGGATGGAAATACAGTCGTCCATACGGAGTAGGACGCGGAATTGTATGATTATAAGATATTTACTCTGACGGGGACGACGGAAATCACCGGGTGCTGTAATATGGGAGGTCCACATCATCCAAAAGATATTACTACGTGAACCCGCTAAGCGGGGATAAACTAGGGCATTTTATAAATCTGGCCAGAAATTCCTGGTCAAACTCAAGCACTTTGCAGACAGACTAACAGACTCAGTAAACGCAAAGAGGGATTATTTTCCTACACGCCTCTCCAAAACAAATATCAACTTCAACTGAAGCGATCAGAGATTTGAGTAAGCAATTCTCCTCTTATACGCTCTTCACGATGCAAATGCCATAGTTCTTTTAAGTTTGCCGATATGCTAAAGAGGTTAATTACTTTGCACCAGAATAAAGTTCCTTGTGCTAATTATATCCGCACAAAGGCGCTAAAATTGATTACAATGAAATCAGCGGAAACAGTCTTGCATTCCTTCCCACAAAATCTCTAGAAGGTGCGCGTTTTAACAACGTGGAACCACGGAGAAATCAATTCCATTCAAATGGGGATGTAGTGCAGCTCCAGCCGACTAGCAGCCTCTATTCAGAGCTTCCCAAATTTGTGGAGAACATTATAGCAGTAGCCCTCGTGAGGTACATTGGCCGACGTAATGTCATAGCAACAGGACAACATGCATTCCGCCAAAACCTGTCTTACATCACAAAAGGTTTGCTTGCTCGTTCCAGCTGCACTGATGCGGTCTACTGCGGTGTGGGAGTCTACGCAGTACCTTTCAGTTTCTCAAAGGCTTAGGACCGTTTTAACCACTGCATCCCTCTTTACAAGCCTCAGAGTTGTGCAATTGGTGACCCGATACTCGAATTTATAGTTAACGACTTGCTTCAATAACATCTAAATTTGAAGATTCACGACGACTTCTCTGACTATATCGATGTTTAGTACAGAGGGTCCCAGGGCTCAATACTTGGTACGCGCCTAATACTGAATAATAAAAGCAATCTCGCGAGAGTGGTCACCTCAAAATTATGACCCGTCGCTGCTGATCTATAGATGAAGTGAGTCATTAAAACACCAAGTGGCCACAGAGCACTGCAGGATGATCCCGATAGGTGTATACGAGTAAGCGACTCAGAATTCGCTTCACTTCAACGCCACCACGTATGAAGCACTAAGCATGTGTCGTCGTTCCACTTACGAATACACATTGGGAGCACAAGCGTTACAACCCGTCTCTACTAAAGTTAACCTAGATATGATGGTAGAATGCAATTCCGGCTGCTCACGTCAATCCGAGAAAACATTCAACAAGCAAAACAGCACTTTGGCCCATTGTAGAGGTCGTTCAGGCGATTTGATCCTTCCATCTTCTCTCAGATGCACAACGCTTATGCTAGGCCCCATTCGGAATAGGCCATGCATACGCTTGGTAGCCTTCCCACAGATGCGACCTTGTCGCACTTGAAATGTCACAAAAAAGAACGACCAAGAACCAAAAGAGTCTGTTTAATCTTTCTTAAAATCTGTGGCCTAAAACCACTTGGGACTACACTGGACAATGTCGAGTCCTACATGTCTATTTGGTAACTACATATATAATCCCGAGGAATCCCAACCAAGCTTGGCGTCACCTGAAACTGATTCACGCTGCCAATCTGAGTGGACACTAACTAAAGTGGGCTACACAGCATTTCCCTCTGCCATGGCATCACAATCGGTTTTCACTTCTCGTTGCCAACCTTGAAATCCCCCCGCACTTAGGTTGTTTCCTCTCCCCACACTAACAGTATTTTACAACTGTATGTGTGATATACTCTTACATTTAAATTATGCTATACATCGCATAGCACGAGCGTCAAATCGATACCACCAAACATTAAGCGCAGGTTTACTTTTCCCTACGAACTAAACTGTGCTTCTGTGGAATATGTTTATGTAAGTATCACATGTACTCAAGTAAGCGGCACATGACTGAGCAGTTTTAAGTTTGTTCTGTACAAAATATTTTAAATACAGCAGCGTCCACTTTGAATTTGTGTGCTTACATTCAATTCCCACTCCACACTAGCACCAGGCAGCAGTTCATTGAAATCGGCATGTTCTCTATCTGAGAAATCACATGCCGTTTGATTTTGTAATTTTTACTCTAATCATTCTAGAGGATATATCTAGCCATCATCTACATTTTCTCGTGCTAATTATATGTTTATTACCAATTATCCTTTTCAGCGCAAGATAGTGAACTAGTTCATTGTGAGTGAATACTTGAAGAGAACCTAGTGCAATGCTGAAATCGCTCTTTTTGATTCAGATATTGGGCGTTTAGCTTATCAACCTAGTCTGACAAGTTAGCATTTGAACATCCATCCAACTCTGACCGCATTTCAAAATGTTTTGAGCAACACTGCACTGTATTACACTACGTTATAGACTGATAGTCAATGTGCATTCGCGTCTCAAGTGTTTCAGGCCGATCAATGGGAAAATCCAATCTAGACATTAACGAGGTCGATTTTGGTGTTAGGACCGGCCGTGATGAATGAATCTATCCTAACCATCAATACCAAATATGCATATTTGGAAGCTCCAAATAATCAGATAAGTACAGATTGATGTTCCACTTTTTTGTAAGTGTAGCTTGATTCCAACTGTCTTATATTAGGGCCTAATACGATAGACTAAGTATATCGTATAGACATTACGCACAGGATCTGGAATGCAAGATTCACTATAAGGGAATTAGTTAATTTTCCAAAAATAACAACCTACTGGGGTTTGTGGGTTGACCTCTCCTAGTTTCTTTAACAATGTATAACACCGGTATGTATTCGTTTTTTGCTAAAACCCATCTGCAATAAAATCACATATATTTTTCACTCATTAATATGGAAGAGGTCACTTTTATGCCAAAGAAACTTGTTAGCTAAATTTTTAATTTGATTTTCTCTACTCTTTGAATATTTTCCCAGGAGGCTAATCGACGAAGAGTAATGAACGAATAAGCTCAGCTTCTGTGATAATTGATTACCAAACAAGCGTCGTATCTTTGAGAACCATAACTAAGTGTTCATATGTTCATCCCAGCCATCTGTTAAATGTTGTCCCATTTACAAACCTTTCTAACAGTCCTACACTTACCTGGTGTTGCGCATGCTTTCTTATCTTCACACGGGCGAGTTTCTATGTAATATCTGCTCGCACATCTTGAGAACTGGTAGCGTTTCAATTTCGGCTGTTTCCACGTGTCATCGGTACACTCTCGAAGGCGAGACTGAATACAGTAGGCTCTCTTGCAGTGGGACCATTTCGACCAGTTCCCGTAGGATTTTAAGTTAAAAATGATGCCCACCGACAATGAAGGTTCAGCTGGTTTCTCCTTCCGGCTACCGGAACATGACTTGAATGGATTGAGAGAAAAACGAAAAAGGAAGCAGTTAGAAACATCGAAATTCTAGGATGCAATCTCATCCAGAATGCGGTGAACGATCACGTGAGCTTTTAAGAAAATGGTACATTCACTTCCAAAGAGCAAGCCATTTTGTTCCACACTACAGTGTTGTAAGCGACGAACAAGAAGGTCTCCGGAGGATGTAGCCGTCAAGCAATTCATTAAAATAGACATGTTGACAGAAACTATAGATCTTTGAAACAAGCTGTTGTCTTTGGTAATTCCGAACAGGAGTATCAAAAATAATGGTTGTGAGCTGACGTCGCCAGTTGGTGCATTCCTATCAATCACAAGACATGCTATAATGATAGGGGAACAAACACATTGTCAAAGAGATCATAAGCAGCCAAGCTCTTGCGCAACCAGGGTAGGCTTAGAGCTACAGTCAACTGTTTGTTAAATACACAGCGGCGATCGTTCGTGACCGACACCGATGCATTCAGTAGGCTAAGTATTTGCGGCAGCTGATCGAGCATTAGAACAGTGAACTACTCGTTAGGATTGACTCGGTATCCTGTGGTTCCCTAGGACTGTCAAAGTGGCTCAGTATCCCGATTCAATTGATTCTGTCATTAGGGTTACTGACTTCGATGAAACATACACTTAGCTTTTCGATCAAACTACTGACGACGAGGCAGTGTATGTTTCACTGTTTATACAGATGTACCTGTAGCTATAGAGACAGCTACATTAGGCGCATTAACGGAACTCTAGTTGTCAGGATCAATTGTCTATTTGGCTTTGATTAATCACATCCAACTAGTAAAGTCAAACCTATCATCATTGTTTCTGTAAAACGATTTATTGTTACAATAGGGCTTCGGCTAAAATTCAAGGGCTTACCTTGACCAGCTCATAATCTGCACATGCTCTCTGCTTAGCTTACTCGCCTCGCATTACAGGCCTTGCGTGTACCAATATGAGATAAACGGTGAGGATGAAAACCAATGGCATGAATTCATGAAGAAACTGCCAGAGAGACTTCGTTGTGTCTGTGAATGCCGTCTTCATGGAGAAGCGTTTCGGGATTGTCCTTATCATTGGTTAGAGACAGTATTAGACCTGACAGTCGCACAGTCAGTGGATTTCCTGCCTTAGTTTAGTAGAGTAAGCGATTCATATAGTCGGTGGCCCTTCGTTCAAGAAGAATTCCATCATGATCTGACATTTCACTCCGTGCGACCAAAGGAGCTCCTCAACTTCGTGTGATGTAAACACTGCATGTTCATTGCACTCACAGTTCCTTTCTTCCTTTTAGATTTTCTGAAAACTCCATTGATGACGCTCCCAAGTTAAATAACGTACATACTGATAGGAGAATAACACAACTCTTCTAGCAAATGAACACTGAATCAAAGCACAGCAAAAGCGTTCTTTCAATAATATTCAACTAGTAAATGTTGTTGACCGACAATCTATATCTTGCCTATCTTTGTAAGTTGCATGCTGTATACCACGGCCTACTGGGCTATTAATGTATGCGATTATCTTGTGCATAAGTTAAATTGTTTAGTGGGGCTATTAGGCGAAATGGGCATTGAGTTGGAATACTCTCCTTTAAATCTAACTAAAGCGCAAATGTTAAACAATAAACGAAAATACTGCATCTGAGTTAATTGTACACATGATCGACTTACCTGAACACCTTTTCCTTTATCATCCTGTTCGGTATGGGTTCCAGCACGAACCTGGAATCCTACCACTTTCGAGTTGCCTTCTAATTCTATTCCGTTGAGCTTGTAAACATGCTGTCTCGTTACGCCTTTACGACCGCTGTTGGTGAAGTTGATGCTGACCTCCTTTTGAGCTGGCACCGAACGCGTACAACAGAACAAGCAAGTTCCGAGGCCAATGTACAATATGAGATTCATAGAGCAAAGTTCAGTACAATCTTGAGAGCAGAGTCGTGTCGATTGGCCTTGGCAGAACTTTTATTAATTTCAAAACCCCACGAAATGCAGTTTTTCTTCACAATAGTAGCATAACAAAACCTTTGCGCTTGCGAAAAATGGTGTGAGTTCAAATGAAAGTGGCAAAGATGAATCCGAAAGCACATATTCACATCGATTAAAGCTGCGTGCGTCTGTGTTTGCCAGGAATGAATGGAGGCCAAACATTTCCACTGTTGCTTAATATTCTGAGACAACAAAAATCACAGTAGCTCAATGCGTTCCATTCTGCATACTAAACATCTGGTTCTCATCTTCTCAATATGGCGTGGTGCAGAAGCTTAACCGTCTGTCTACGAACATTCCTTGATTCTTCGGATGAAGAAAAATCGGCATTCGTTTAAAACAATTCTACCTCCATGACCTTTATTGACTGGATTACAAGGTAGTTATTGGCGTACTTCTCACACAGAATGCTTACTATATTGTACATTCTTAGCATCAGTGTTAAAACGATGAAAAGTACCGCGAAGAGCGCTTATACTCCACTCAGAGTGTACACCTACTCCGTGAGTCAGCATTCGACCATAACGGGAAACTTCCACCGCTAGCTTTACTTCCAATCATAAGGTTTATATGTTTGAGTACACGAGGTCTTATCTGCATCCATCTGAATACATGTGAAAAAGCATAAACAGTGTGCAATTCTTCGCATACGTGTGGAAATTGTACTCATCCATGGGGGATATCACCTTGTTTAGGACTCACGGCGGCGCACAAGTCTAATGCAATCAATGATAGCCTGGATCATTAGAAATATCGGGTGCACATTGATTTTTAAACAACCAAAGACACAATCTGGTAAGGAAGACATTCACAGTGTGTATCCACTTCAGAACGTAAATATTGGCCCAATCTCTAAAGGTAACAGAGGATTAGTGCTATCAACGAGCTTATCAATATTATTGTGTAAACATAGTGAATTTTCTAGCATTGTGTACTTTAAATCTGAGTAAAATTTTGCAAAACACTTACGCCCGTTTTTTCAAGTTGTGACAGAGAGTAACTTCCTCTTTTAGGTACGAGCAATGCAGTCATACATTATAAAAAATTTTCCAGTTTTTGTTTTGAAGTCTTTTGTGTACAATGATCTGAAATACTGCATCTCTTTACTACTGGCCGGAATTATGCATTCAGTTTGGCTCCCCTTTCAGAAAGGTAAGTAAGAAAAACCACTAGATTTTAGTATACTAAAACTGGGAATACTAGAATTTATCAAAGTTTAATATGCATCATATGACCTAATGTTTCTGACAATTATTGGCATTTAAAGGGTCATACGTAAGTCGGATTGGATTAATAGACTAGTACGTCAAACGAATGCAAGTTAAACTAATTGTGTTCCGACTGAAATATAGACCTTCGTTCGGTAAGCTGTGGTTGCGCCTTCGTGCCCAACCTGGTTTGGCCAGTTGCTTGAAGACAAAACAACTATGCGTAGGAATTGCCCACATGTAAATTTAGCATGTGAATACCTTATTTGGAAAACAATATCTTTTTCCAGTTTTATCCCTTATGAAGAATGCAAAGTCCTGCAGCGCAACAGGGGTAGTTAGTGTTAAACAACGAGCAAATTCGTGAAGAAAGCTTCCATCTGCTTTAACCAAATCCACATGCTCTGCAAGAGATGAAATTAGTGCTAAGAATGAATCCTAAGCTGCCAGCTACATAGTAAAACGCAATCAGCCTCAGAGAGAAATATGGAAGAAATGCTTACCTAGCATACACATGAAGTGCGATGAAAGTGCGTCAAGTAGACGATACTTAAAAGTAGTAGTTTCCATTTGCGTTTCTAAATAAGTAAGTTATAAGACGCCGACCTTAAGCCGACGTCCTCATTTTGTGCATACTAGTCGTCCAAGCAAATGCAGTTAACAAAGGATTCAACTACCACCCTACAGAAAATCGACTTAGCGACCAATCTTTGGAATACTGGTGAGCTACGCGCTACCAAAGTAAGCTTAGTTTCATTGTAAGGTATTTTGAAACACAGAGCGAGGAGCAGTCTAAATTGATAACACTGGCTTTCAGGCATTTGAAACTCCGAAGTCTTCGGTTGCTCTATGGGATTCTGAATGTTGCATTGTGGCTGACCTGGTAGTATGTGCATAACACATGACTGCTGAGGGTTGCGACAACTTATCACCTCGATGCACGTGTTTCAGATGTCATAGATTCCACTCGTTTGCGCAACTCTCTTTGAAATGTTATCGTCGAATCTGACAAACAGACTTGGGTCAGTACACCCAACATAGCTGTCTCTACAGTTTCAGGTTTATTATTACAACAAGTGAGGTATACTCTGCTTTGACATGGTTGTCTTCAGTGAGCGCACAACATGCCTCATTCATGTTCTCTTGACAATTCTAATTGGAATTCCTTGTTTCATATTTCTCAAGTACAGCCTCCCTGTTTTTAACGTGAAAGTGTTTCACCGCTTATTGTAGCTAAAGTACAAATTTACATTTAAGTGTTGACTTTGATTGTTATGTATGAGTGTGTTGCATTAGAATTTCGGAATTGGTAATCTTCCGACGACAAGTATACACGCGAGTTCATGAAAACGTTGAGCAATAGTAAACACTGTCCGACAACGAAAGCTACACTGGGGAAGCTAATGTCAATGCACACCACATATCCCCTGGATTTGTTACCGGGCAACCCAAAACAGCCGAGGGCAGCAGTAAGATAACTGGCAGTACCTTTGGCTTAGCTTCTGCAGAGGTGCTAATATAGGTGCCAGGTTCTTACTGTGTGCAACCTTGGGATAATCGCTACAATCCAACTTGGAATAAACAGGAATAGTTTTTTAGACTACCGTCTGGTATCTTTTCTGCGTGCTGTCCACAGTCCAGCATAGCCAATGCATCGGTGGCCTATCTGAAAGTGTGCAACATTATTGTTCCCGAGCCATACGCTTTTTGCCGAGAACAATCATATGTCATGAAATTAGTAATAGTATAGGTTAACTAAACCGTGTGAGCCGACATCCGAGAGGACTATAATGTGATCTAGCTGGATTTCTGAATAATACCCAATTGTCTAAATAAGTCATTCTCTTCGGGAGCAATATAGCCCTCTGGGTTCCCTAGAACATTTCCAGGGGCCCATGTATAAGAAAATGTTTTGGGGGCCACAAGTAGCCATTGGCTGGGTAGATACATCTACTTGTAACGGAAACGTTTTGGGCAGTAATACAGTAACTAAGGAAATTTCTATATCCTTAGCCGTCTCGTCTAATCGGCGGAAAACGGTTAAGTTGCTGAGCGGAATGGCTTGAATTGTTTCTTTGGAATTTATGCTCATCAGGTTAGAAAGTAAATTGTTACTGCAGACAGGGTAGTATTTTCCACTATTCTGCGGACTGCTATTTTTAGTAATCAACTTGCGGATGTTATAAGACTAGTAAGTCCATTCGCTATTTTTGCCTTGTTAAAGTTTAAAAATTCTCGGGCCGCATCCTCTATAATTTGGTAACCTGTTGAGCGATCACGCCACAACATGCTCCAAGGAAAGATTTTTGCAGATGATTCACCGTTGCTCTAAATCGTGATTTTCTGCCTCTTCACAGTCGTGTGTAAGAAGCTGTGCCACACCATAGATGAAGATAGTGTTCAGGCGATCATGCTTGCTTTGTCCTTCTTCGGAATTTTTTCTACTCTCGCATGTCCCACGGAACATCAGAATAGATAAATATCTCACACTGTCCACGTTGAAGCGCGGTTACGGTGAGCAAAACGTTTTCCACATCAGTTGAGGGTTCTACTGCTACTCTACTAAGTCTGGGCTAGCCAAAGTTTGTAGAGTTCGTGTGAGGAGTATTTCGTACTACATTTGTGGGTTTGCCTGTTAATCACATTAGAAAGCATAGTGATTCCCATTGGTTTAGGTCGTCGGACTATTTGCCTCTTTTACATACAAGTGTAATCAACACTGGTAGGAATTGCTTTTTCAAATGTGTTGTTTGGTGCCTGATTTTAATTGTCATGGTCACTGCCTGTCGGAGTTACGCCTAATTTCCGTCTGGTATTCTGGCAAAGATGGGGAAGGCAACGGCGATCGGGACCTGGTTTAGCTTGGTGTGGGATCAAGGAATTGTGCACCAATTTCCCGGTTAAATGTCCCTAGGTTTACCTGGTTCAGCCTTTCTTCCAATGCGTTGATTCTAGTGCTCATTCGCTGCTAGGCTTCGGATACTAAGTGGTTGCATTTCTGGACTGGGACAAGTATATATTTGACAAGGTAATGGTTGAACCAAAGGATATCTTGAGAATTATTCCTCTTTCGCACATGCCATTGAAATAAGCTAGCACCTTTTGTATGTATCACTGGGAACAATATAAGCAAATTGAACCGAGGTTAAGTAATAGACTATCTTTTCCTGACCCGCAAACACCCTTAGCTTGGAGTCCTTTTGGATATGCACTTATTTAATGTTTGCCATTCGGTCTGGTTTCGTAACCTGAGGCAGTGGGCAGACTGATGACTTCTCTGACCTCCGTGGAGTTACGCTTCGTTCAAACGAACGTTAACTTGTAGAGTTTGTGAGCGGTCGATGGAGCTGATTTCATCCCCCATCGGTTCCAGGAGTATGCAGTTGCACCAGTGGACAATGCCACAAACATATTCCAGATGGCAAACTCAGCGAGCAGTTGGGACAATCACTGAGATCTCAGAATGTAACTCGAGAATATACAGCAAATAAGCATGTAGGTAGACCCCAAGTGGCCATTCGACACCATCTGTGTCAAAAAGTGGAGCTAGTAAGTAAAAGTCACTGCCCCTCCTACAGTTGTAAGAGACGTTCGCTGTTGTCCTACTAGCGCATTCAAATCCTGCACAAGAACCATGATATCCGAATTGTCAACTCTGCGTGCTGGCATGTTTAGTGTGTGCTTCAAGGCGTTCTTGGCAGCATCCGA